CAAGTCTTCTTGGTAGTTTAAATTTTCAATACAATACCAGATTCTATGTACCAAATATTCTTATGAACAGCTGTGACAACCTTAAAAATATAAAAAACCCTGTATCCCACAAAGAAATAACCTTGATCCAGTTCCCATGACTGGCCCCATCTCCTCTTCATCTTCAACTGCCAATACCCAAATTATAGGTCCTGAAAAAAAAAATAATAACAGATACAAATGAGACTAATAACAAATTTATGGAAATAATAAAAAAATTGAAATTACACCAACACAAGTTACTCTATACCGATGGTTCCAAAAGGTCGGACAAGGGCACAGGCTTCGCTGTGTATAATAAAGATCCTGATCTTTCCATAAAATGCAAAATTGAAGACAGTATGTCCATTTTTGATGCAGAAGCCATGGCAATAATAAATTCACTGAAAAATATAAGAGAGCTCAAGATCAAAAAATCACTCGTGGCTTCGGACTCACTAAGTGTTCTCACAGCCCTGACTTCAACAGATAAAAAGGGGAAAAAAAAGCATATGGATATATTTCATTAAAGACATGTTGATCAATTTCATTCAGGAAGGATATGACACGAGACTCATCTGGATTCCTAGCCATATAAATATTATTGGGAACGAGATGGCTGACTGCTTAGCCAAAGAAGCTGCAATTAGCAACGGAAATAACAATGATACCAACAACAAGAATAATAACGTGAATCAAATCAATATTACATTAGTTGAAAACATGACCAATACATTCTATGAAGAGGCCACTACACAAGCAATTGCATTTCTTCAAGAGTTAGCAGTTTATAAAGGTCGTAAATATTTTCACCGTACTAGGATTAAACTCTCGGCACCTTGGTTTAAACACCTGTCGTTCCTCCCTAGGAACATTTTAAGCATGATTGCAAGATTAAGATCTCACCATGTCATGACTAATGAACATCTTGCGGACAAAAACATCCTGGAAGATCCGTCATGCCCTTGTGGGGCTCCGATACAAAATTTGGATCACCTGTTCTTCCAATGTACGGACCATAAAGACGCTAGTAGCAAGCTGAGGATTAATCTTTTCAAAGTTGGCATACACTCATCTAGTAATATTATAGACATTGCTTTCTCAAATAATACCAGAGCATTCTATGAATTGGAAAAATTCCTAAACAGCATAGGGAAAAAGATATAATATAAGAAATTACACCAATAAGACTGGCTAATGGATTACATTGCTCCGGGCCAATAGTGAAGAAGAAGAAGAAGAAAATATGTGAACGAAATTGTATAGCTTTTTCTAACGCTTTGAATCCATTTCTTCCAATCGTCCTATGATTTACAGAAAGAAATGGAATGTTCTTTATTTCGAAATTGCAAGTGGAATTATTGTATTCGTATGTTCTAAATAGACTTGGTTCAGAATCAAACAATTCACTTAGGTACAAGGTTAGGTACAACTTAGGTTTTCCGTTCTTTACCCTTTAGTGGTCTTTTCACATTTTCATGATATTCCTGTCGAATATCACGAGTTTTTATCCTCAAATGGAGATCACTGAATCTTTGTCAACAATATCTAAAAATGTATTCTTACATTTTTTACTCTTGCATGATCCTTTAATTTTTAAAAAATAAGATTCATTTTCCTTATTATCACATTGCTGGGATATGTGCGACCATTTGAATACAAATGCACATGGAAAATTATATCTCCGCCAAAAGGCTTTAGCTATGACATTTTCTCAAACCTGTGGTTTCAATACCTTTCTTGCATAGGTATTATCTGGCTTTATCTCTTCCCATTCGACTTTAGTCAGTTTGAGATCAAATCATTTGCTACCATCTTCATCCTGATACAAATGATTATCTAATCCAGACTCATCAATACAAGACTCATCAATCATAGATTCAAAATCATCGATCATGTCAATATTTTTTTCTGGTGTAGGTATCATTATACTTAAATTTTGGCGAGCTTCTATTAGATCACCTCGTTTATTTTCTCGGACATGATTATATACTGAGCGTAGTTTCCACTTACCGCCAATATCTTGACTCATACTTTTCCACACTGCAGATGAGTATTTAGGAAAGTTGTTGGTTCAAAAATGTTCCATATATTTTTCAATCAAAGCAACAGCTTTTTTCTTAGCAACGTTCGGAGGTCGACCCATTTTTACGCCAAAAAACCTAACAAAAGAAAATTCATGAAGATCATTACTGAAATCAATATCTTATTTTGTATTCAACGTATAATTGCTATAATTTTAAATAAATTTTCTTTAATACTCTTTATAAATGAACCTTTAAGGACGAGTATTTCGTTATTTTGTTGTGCCTATAAGCTACGACCATCTTACGATTTTCAAAAGGTTCATTAATTTCTGTCCTTAAAGAATTAAAAATCCTTTATTAACCATTCTTTATTAATCTTTATTAAACTAGGTTAAGATTATAATTTTAGTTATTTGAAAATCACACGTCAAGTCAATTGTAATAATTATACCTTCAGAAATTTATTATTAATAACAAATAGAGGTGTAGAGATAACACAGGATCTTGATAAGCGTTTCAATAAATTTTTATATGAAAAAGGAACAAACCAGTTATCTCAGAATAAAATCCTGTAGAAATACTTCTCTTGACATGATCGTCTTTTGTTTCATTCTTATAGACTTCTTAATAGCGTTTTTCATTGGGAAAATGAGTGCGCACTCAATGCGCACTAGTCGTGGACGATGTGGTTCATTGGGAATTTCAGTGCACATTAAAATCATGCGTCGTGTTTCATTGGAAAATGTAGTGTCGAGTTTTTGCACTTTCGTGCACAAATTCGGCACGAGCTCGGAGAGATGGTGTCGGTTGAGTGCAAAACATGGCGGCGCAGAACAGAGATGTTTTGAATGAACAAACGTATGTGATAATTTCGGATTTCCTTTCATCTTCATCCAGCAGTGATGAAGATGAGTATTTTCTTCGAAATCCGAGGCGAATTGTTCCTAAAATGAAAAACTTTTTGCAAATAGTACATCAATATTCCGATCACGACGTAAGTTTATTGTTATAATTTAGCTTGTGAAAATAAAAGTAGAAAGTAATTTTTATTTTTGTTGTAGTTCAAATCCCAGTTTCGAGGGCAACAGCATATGATATTATAAATAATTTCGAAAATTCGACGTTCTATTCTGGTGATACAAGCCACGGAGGTATTAAACCGTCCTCTGCTGAATCACACGTTTTATCTTTTTTGTGGTAAATTTTACATATACATGTATAGTTTTTAATTCATCCACCACTCATATTATATATATATATATATAATATTAAAAAGATTTCAAAAAATATTACTTTGTATAGGTTTGCAGGAAATAAAGTGTGCTTAAGAGATGTTGCACAAAGATTTGGAGTATGCGCTACAACGATTTTTCGACAAAATAAAAAAATGATGGATTTTCTATGCGATATAGCTGGAAACGTCATCAAATTTTCTGACAAAGAAAATACTGCAAACGAATTCCTTCAAGTATGTATATTTAATTAATGTATTTTAATGAAGCTAAAGCTAGCAGCCGATTCATAGCTGAATTATGAAAGCAGTAGTTTTTAATTATTATTTAATAAATGTCAATTTCTTGTTAATTAATTATTTAATGCTAAAAATTTTTCTATTATTCTTTAGTTCTAAACAGTGCTTATGCGAATTTGCTACTAGTTTCAGCTTTATTGTATTTTATGTATGTTTTTCTAATGAGTTATTTAATGTATATGTATATAAAATTGAAGATTGCAGGATTTCCGAAAGTTCTTGGCTGCATTGATGGGACTTTCATTAAAGTCCGAACGCCAGCCCACAAAATAAAATCGACATATGTAAATAGACATGACATCCCTTCGATAACATTGCAGGGCATATGTGATGCTCGAAAGAGATTTATAGATACATTTACAGGAATCCCGTCGAAAATTCACGATGCGCGCGTACTCAAATTATCAGATATATGCGACGAGTTGCCAGGAATATGTGAAGGCGGAAAATATCACATTCTAGGCGATGGAGCGTATCCAATAAGAGAATGGCTTATTATACCATTTAAAGACTACGGAAATCTGTCTGCAAAGGATAAACAATTTAATAAAATGCTGTCTGCGACTCGAGTATTGATCGAGAATGCGTTTGGACTGTTGAAAGGTCGTTTTCGACAATTAATCGAAGTAGATCTACATACTGTTGATAAAATATCAAAATTTATTACATCATGTTGCGTTTTGCATAACTTATGCATAGACAACAACGATAACTTTGATGTTGATATTGTTATAGAAAACAATGAAGATTATAATAATGAAGGCAGAGGTGAACAAGAAGCTCTATTACGAAGATTAGGGGAAGTAAAAAGAAACCAATTGATGAATGTACTTTTTCCATGAAATAAAAATTAATACAATATGAAATTATCAAACGTTTATTTGTCCTGTGGCAAATAAGTACATACTTTCCAATAAAAAGCAAAACATATAAAAACAAAACATATTTTTTTTATAACACGTACATATTAATTATTTTTTCAAAATTCATATATTATATCTCTTATTTATTTCATAAACATGTAATTTTTTAACATACACGCTTTTTCAAAAAGTTTGATTGTAAAATTAAATAACACTGTTTTAAAATTAAATAACACAATAAGTTTACTTTATACTGGTTCATACTTAATAGTCTGAGCAGTACTATATCTTTCGTAAAGTGCGAAAATCAAAATATGCATACGCTAATATTAAAAACCAGTAATATTAAAAACAAAGACATACAATTAGTAAACGTACAAAATTATAAGAGAAAAAAAATAATTAAAATTATATATCACATCCAGCGTTTTAGTTAGGAACTTTCATATTAACATATGGTTCAGGCTGATTTTACATTAGTCTTTCTTTGGTTTTTTTTAATATTTGCTTGTTTCTGTATCATCTTACTTTAGTTCCCACTACTTTTGTTTGGCGAACAACTCCCGTATTAAATTCAACTTTTCTTGGTGACGTCTTTCTTTTGCCGCTTCTTTATTTTTCCAGTATTCCATCCTTTTATCAATATCACTTGGTTTCGATTTTTTTGTCTTCGGTGGTGAGCTATCAGTAGAATGTGTAGAGGCACTATCATTGCAGATTTCTTGTATTCAATTTAGGATATTTAACGCTCCTTGCATTTCGCAACACCTCGGGCTCAATACTATCGTCCGAATGAGCAATTTTACGCAATTCTTCTTCGAATGGTACATCCTCTCTAGAGCTGCCTGATTTAGAGTTGTTCTCAACTGCTTATTTTTTCCTTTTGAGAACGGTTTTATACCGATTTTCAACTTGAAGAGGAGTTTTTAATACGTCCAACATCGTCAGCATATCTTTTGAAATTTGCGCCCACATCAATTTTTTAGTTTTGAATTTTTTCATGGGACCAATATCCGACATATATGTTTCATATTTATCGAGAAGAAACGATGTTCCTGAATTGCTCCAGTAATCTGAAAATCACGTTGTTTAATGATTAATACAATAGTCTACATTATAGCACCAGTAAACCTATTAGTAGGTATTACAATAATGTAAAAATTTTGTGAAGTCAAAGATTTTAAAAAATCTTTTATATTTTATATTACATTTTTCATATTATATTTATTTCATTTATATTATATTTATATATATTCTATTATACATATATATTGTATGTATTTTATTTGTTAATAACATATTTAGATTATATTTATTAACGTATCATTCTTCGTTTCGTATCGTATTCATTTTCTGCTCGAATATAACAAATACCATATTTTATAGTACATTATCATAGTGCTATGAATAGTCGTAAATGCTTTATTAAAACAGATTTACCGCTACTCTTCTTTCCTTTTTTATCGTACTCCTGCGATTGTGATTCATTCTGATCATATTCCTGTGATTCAAAGGATTCAAACATGAGTGCTTCATTTTCTTTATTCTACTCCGATAGCTGATCTTCATTGCTGCGATTATCACCATGAATATTCGCGTGGAATATCAATTGTTCTCTGTAATACAAAATATATTGACATTTTACACTGCCATATACAGGGTGAGTAAGGATCCTCTGCAACAAACTTAGACAGATTGTTTGGAAAGTCATTCTGATTAAAAAATGTCATATGAATATAGATCCTATTCTTAATATTTACAGACCTCAAATGTTCGACAGAATTTGACAATCACTGCTACGATGGTGTAATAAAAGTAATCAGATTCAGAATAAACACTTTGAACAACTCCTGTAAACTGTCCGCAAGGATACTTGAAGAAATAAATGCAAATTCATTTCATAACTGTACATGTCACCTAAATTTTACAACTTCTGTAACTATGTAAATATTAAGAATAGGACCTGTGTTCATATAACATTTTTTACTCAGAATGACCTTCCAAACAATTTGTCAAAGTTCGTTGCAGAGGTCCTCTGACTTACCCTTTTTTTTAATTTTTTTTCTGTTGTGTACATTTGAATTCTGTAGAACTTTGATTCTTTGAAGAAATAATGAAAAACAAGATTGCTTGGAATTAATATATGTATATAAGAAACTGAAGAGTTCCTGTTTACCCTAAAGTAAACTTACTTATTTTTTTAAAGTAAACTTGTAAAATAAAATGGTAATTATATTTTATAAAATAAACTTTGCTCTTAACTTCTTAATGTGCTTTTTCGGAAGATTTTGATAGCTTGCAATTAATACATCTCAAAAAAATTTTACTTACTCATCTTCAATCACTCGAGATATTTCTTCAATTTTCTGATTTTCGCTTCCATGTAGAACACACAATCCATTTTTAATCACAAGTTTTATATATTGTATGCTATAGGTATCGTCATCTGAAATTAATTGACACAAGAATCAATAATATTCAGTTAATATTCTTTTATGTATATATTTTTGAATATCAAATGAATTGTGTTTTACAAGCTTTACAAGGGGTTATATATGCATTCAAGTTTTTCGAGTAGACAATATCCAAAAACTATTATGTACATAAGTACATATGTCTTTGCCGACAATTTATTTATACTACGGGAATAACCTCAAAATCCAAAATCATGCAAGTCCTATATAATTCTATACTTACTCATTATTTTATTGTATAACTCTGTTTCGCTTGATAGAAGTTTTAACGAGAGCATGTCATTATTGACTTTGAAAGAAATGCTTAATTCTTCTGATTGTTCCATAGTGAAGTTTACGTTAATGCATATATTTTCTTTCAATCCGAGGCGAATCGGTTCTTATGCGCACTCATCAAGTCATGAGTGTTTCATTGGGCGTGCAAAAAAACTTGCACTGTCGGTAAACTCGGGTAGTGTCGCCTAAACTCCACGAGTTCTTAATGCGCACTCAGTGCATCCCAATGAAAAACGCTACAGGATTGAATTAACTTGACATAAATTGTTACGGCGCACAATTCAAAACTACCTGAAAATATCCATAGAATTTTATTAGAGTTTCTGTCACTATTTGAGAACTTCATAAATATTTGAGAAATAGAATCAGTGCATATATCATGCGACAAAAAATAAAATCGTTTAAAAATAATTTTGACACAATTTTATGTTCTAATAAAATTTGCAGTACTGTCAAAATATTTCGTAAAAAGGAAAAAATACTAGAGAAAGCTATATTTAATTTGCAGTTTGATAAAACCTTGAAAGTACACTACAAAGAGATTTACAAATTAGTCATTGGTATATTACAGTACGTGCTAGATGGAAAAAATTGTAATCAATATGAATAAAAAGATAAAATTAAAAACAATAAGATAACTCTGAGATATTCGTAAAATCTACGGATAATTTATTAAAATTAAATACAAGTGTATTTTTACGTATTATGTATTTAAAACAATTCCGACCTATGTAGATAATTGATCAGCATTTCACTGACGATCCAAGAACGTACTGCTTTACTGTTATGCAAATTATAACATACAATGACTATGTTTACACGGCTTCTAACTTCGACTTAAGTAACGCTGTTATAACTCCTACTTAAGGTAAGTTCCATTTACACATTCAGGCTTATCTTATTCTCGAGAAATGGATTCAAAGCGTTAGAAAAAGCTATACAATTTCGTTCACGTATTTTCAATGTTAGATATCATAAAAAAGAGTGTAACGGAATCACTACAGAGATTAATTGGACTAATTATCAGACATATAATGTGTGTCATTTACTTCACAAATATATTTATATATGGTACCGCTGAAACCAGGTGTGAGATAAGCTAAGTATCCCGAGCACTTCGAAGGTTTGTTTTTCAAAGATATTTTCTTGAGATGAGTCTTGGAAATTTATCTCTCCTCTAATCTGGGAAGATCGATTAAGATGTGTTTGTCAAATCTGCCGGGTCGCAATAATGCATTGCCCAATACGTCCGCCCTATTCGTTGAAGCTAATATAATAACATCTTATTTCGAAATCAATCCATCCATTTCTACCAGAAGTTGATTTAAGGTTCGTTCGAACTCGCTATTAGTAATTCCAAATGAACTGTCTGAACGTTTCTTGCTGATTGCGTCAATTTCATCGATGTATATTATACTTGATGCTCTAAGAGGAAGAAAGAGATTAGGAAATAAATATGTTAATATTATTAAAACGGATCACTTAGAAAAAGATGATAAGACGATCGAACCTTTTCTTGGCCTCTTTGAATAAATCCCTAACTCGAGCGGCTCCTAAGCCACCAAATACTTTGATAAATTCAGAACCATTCATAGATAAGAATGGTACACTTGCCTCAGTCATCACAGCTTTAGTTAAGGTTTTACCGCAACCAGGAGGTCCCAAAAGTAGGGCGCCTGAAAAATAAAATTACATAATTAGATCTTGTATTATATAAAATATACTTATGAATATTAATTTTATATAAAATAGATTCTCAAAATATATAATCAAGCAAAATATGGTGGTAAGAACTAGTGTTGCCGGTCAAATGAGATTTAACACCTTGACAAAAAATGAATGAAAATGTATAAAATTTCTTCATAAAATAATATTTTTTAATGTATCGCTTGATCAACAGTAGTGACTTTTGTTTATTTCCACATTTTATTTAGTTAATTCTGGACATATTTAGTTAGTAACATACTTTACATATTTAATATTATATTAGTAACATTCTAAATATATTTAGTCTTACCTTGAGCTATTTTAGCATCAAGCTCTTTGTAACGCTCAGGTTGCTTAAGATAATCAACAAACTCCATCACTTCTATCTTAGCTTCTTTCAGTCCAGCTACATCTGCAAAATGTACACCTTTACCTTTTCCCATAAATGGCTCAACCAATGTGAATGTTGCTTGTTTCATCTGTGAGATAAAATAAACCAAGGGGATAGAAAATCATTTCTTGAAGAAAGTGAAGAAAGCAACAGCTATCAACAGAAGCAACATAAATCTTATGATGCTTGCTATAAATTCTGTTTTTCTTTCATATATAATTTGTACCCCATGACCTGAAATATTTTAGATAAATGTAAAGTATGTAAAGTATAAAAGATTCCATATAGTTTTGCATAAATATTTTACTTACCAGCTTTTAAACCAAAACTTTTTTCCACCTTTCTCAGTTTTTCTTCAAAATGCTCAATGTTTGGAACAGACATGTAGTATCTATTATTTCCCTTAATAATAGCACCTTCATGAACCAAACTTATAACATATTCAATATTAGGATTCACAAGAACAGCCTCAACCTCCTCTTTGCTCAACATGTTATATATAAATTCATTCCAGGAGGTAGATGGTATAGGCTATTTAAACATCCGTGATTATTAATATTTCATATCTTCAATGATTTCTATGATCCGTAATGATTAATAAAAACTTACTTTTATATCTGTACCTATCTGTTGTTTTAATGCAATCAGAAGAATATATAAGCACAAACAACATAAAAAATATTACGAAGAAGTACTTTCATTTCCTCATTTTGATCAGGTTCCTTATCTGGATTCTCAGAACCAGATTCTTTTAATGATTGTTTGTTAGAATTGCTACATGTTGGCTGTGTTCCAATATTCACTGCCAGCACTGAAAATCTATATAAAGCTAGCGGCACACGGTGCTTGTTTTCGAGCTGGAATGCTTGCTAGATGAAAATACTGCGTTGTGATTGGTACATTTCCGAAGATGGATGGAAATGCACCAATCAGAACGTAGTATTTTCATTCAGCAAGCAATCCAGCACGAAAACAAGCACCGTGTGCCGCTGGCTTAATATACGTGACACAAACTATGTATTTTCAGTACTGGTAGTGAATTTTGAAACACAGCCTTTGTATTAAAATAGGTTTGTTCGCGTCGCACACTCCAACATGCTCCTATTTGCCCCAATGTGTTCGAATCCGTTTGCGTTACCGGAAATTATATGGCGACCAAGCGTTCGCGTCGCACTGGAGCATTCCTCAAGGAGCAAGTAGGAGTGTGATCCATTAAAGCTAAGACTCCATGCATGCGGTGAACTGCGGCAAACGGTTGCGGTGACCAATCAGGAGGGAGGCGCAAGTCCGGTTGCGGCAAGCTCCGGCATGCCTCTGTCTCCTGATTGGTCACCGCAACCGTTTGCCGCAGCTCACCGCATGCATGGAGTCTTAGCTTTACCCCAGCTTCGGAGGTGGTGCAGTTTGGGCAGAAACAGTTTTGTCATGAGCGCATGCGCAATTGTAAGATTTAAAAAGAGAGATCGTCTATATCTCTATTCTTTTCTCTTTCAATCTCTCTTCTTCTTGATCCTCCTCCTTAGTTTATAAAAAGAGGGATGTTCAGGATGTTAAGGTTCCGAGCGATTAATGTGAACTCCTCTTATTGAAGAATATAAGTATATGTATATTTTAAAAGAACTCAAATACAATAATACCGACACCGCAATTTATACTAAATATATCTCTTTACAAAGCTTAACGATCTACGACTTGTCTTTCGACTCGACTTGATTATTATTATTCGTCTCGACGTTCAATGGCAAAAAGCTAAAGGCAAAAAGCTCCGTCTTTCTCCGTGCGTCTCCTTTTATCCTTTTCTCCATCCGTCTATCTGATCTCTAAGGACCGGCCTTTCTCCCGTGGCTCCCCCGGAATAGACTGGTGCTGTCCTCCCTCGTCTGTATCTTATACAATCATTAGTTTACTTTTGCGAAAAAGAATGCAAAAAAGTACGACTAAATTAAGAAAACGTGTATTAAATATTCAGGTATTTAAAATGTCTTGCATAAGATTTTAGTTGATTGCTGAAATATGCATTTTTATAATTAATTAACTAACAGTAAATTCAAAATAGGTTAAGTGATTTTATTTTAGGACAATTTGTGTGACTTATGTTTATATTTTATTTGAATTAATATGTGAGCAAAAATGTAATATTTTACATACGACATATTATTCAGTAACTTGTGATTAATATATTCCAACATTATTTGTTTTAAAGTTATTTTAACCAGTTAAGAAGTGTTCACTTACACAACTATTGTATTTAATATTAATGATTTTTTTGTTATAGTCTTCAGCAAGACAAACAATCCATAATGGCTGAATCTAATCAGAAAATTATGATAGCACACCCGAATGCTAATTCTTTAATAACAGGATCTATGATTCCAAAGAACTCAGCTATAAAAGTCATGCCAAAAATATTGTCATTTAAATTAGTTAAGCCTCAAACACCAAATACTTCTGCCGTAACTCACACAACGGATTTAACACAGTACTTAACCACAGTGCCTTTGATGAATAAGATGAGTCCTTCCAGTATTCAGTTGCATGAAAGTCCTTCCATTACAGCAGCAAGCTCTACGCAGCATACAGATACAATTATGAGTTCATTGGATTTTTCGATTGTAAACTCAGATTCTTCCACAGTTATGGAAAAGGAACTTATGACAGATAATGAAAAAGAGAATGATTCTGTTTTCAACAGTGTTTTCACCAGTGATAGCCATTTTATTTGGAGTCATAAAAGTATAATGTTATTTTTCTCAAAATATGAAGAACATGAGAAAAAGTTTCAAAAACAGAAATATCAAAGTAAGGAGGCTATGTTTCAAGTATTAGCAGAGTCATTCCAAAAGAAAGGTTATATAAATGCTACCAAAAATCATATGAAAAATAAATTTAAATTATTGAAGAAGAAATGGGATATACATATTAAACGGACCACTGGAAAAAACAGCTCTGGAAAAGGCACAAAACCTCTTCCATATGAAAAGTAAGTTTTATGTTCATTCTGTTTCTTGTATTTGTCATAATTTTAAATGGAATACTTTCAATTGATATTCAGAAAACATGAAAGTTTTGAAGATATCTAAAAGATATGTTTTAAATATTTTCTAAGAAAAGATATTTTTAAAAAATATCTAAAAGATATCTTTTAGAAATATCTTGAAGATATCTATAATGAGATATCTTTTACATATCTTTAAGATCTCGATGTTTTCTAGATCTTAATATGTCCTTAAATATCTTTCAAATAACTTAAGTATATTTTTTGATACCTAAAATAAAATTTGTAAACGTTTTAAAATATCACGTCTTAAAGTGTAAGATGTTTTTTTACATTTCATCGAAATATGTAAAAGATATCTTAACTTGTTGCATAAAGTATCTTTTAAATCTCTAAAAAATATCTTTTTCAGAAATACAAGACATCTGGAGACATAGCAAAATATCTTTTAGAAGTCTAAAAGATATCTTTATGTCTATTTGGGCAGTTTAATCATCTTTCTTTTTTGATATTTTTGCTTTCTTTTTGTTATTTTCGAAATATTTAAAGTATATATATTTAATCACTAATGGATTGTATACTTTTCCTTATAGAGAAATGATAAAAATATTTGGAAAAAGTCATAGTGGAGTGCCACTTATTGTGGCTAGTCGTAATGGAATTATTTCTCAAAAAGAAATTTTGCAAAACGTCTGTCAAAATTTGTCTGAGTGAGTAATGATCTCTCTAAAATACATTTTTAAATTCTTGTCTTCATTTAGATAAGTAATTAAAAGTATTATCTATTATAGAAATGAGAATGAAGAGCAATAAGAGCAGATTTCTTCTGTACTACATTCACCGAATCCTGTAACTGTAGGTACCAATTTAAATCTCTTGTCATCGAGAAACAAATCGAGAAACCAAGGAGCAATGTTTCAGTTCCGACATTATCGACTAATAGCAGCAGATCATCAATGACAGGTAGCAGCTGCTCCTCTTTAACAAATACAAGAGTAAAAGTACGAGATGGCAAATTAGCGCTTACTTTGCAATCAGTCAAAGAATCCATTTGTGCCGTGTTACAAAAAGAAAGTGATGATAAACAAGAAATACGCACAAAATTTCTAACAGAGCTTCAAAAATTTAACGAATTGCAAAAAGAACGAAATATCATTCTGCAAAAACAACTTATGGTACTTGAAAATTTGGCCAAAAAGATAAATCCAACAGAGAAAGAATTATTATTATATGACTGAAAACATTGAAATAATTGTTAGATATAAACATATATTTTATTTGACTATATTTAAAACAATGTTGGTTATGTTTTTAGTTTTTGATTAAGTATAAATATTTAATTTCTCAAATTTTTATTTATTCGTTTTCTGTTAATTTTAATGGATAGCACGATAAGACTTCGTATTAAACTTCTCGAGAAGTCAAAGTTAAGTTTACTCGATTGAGTTTTTTTTACATAATAAAGCAATATTATTTATTTTCAGTATGTAACGTAAAAATCAGTTGCTGATAAAGGATAAGAACTATTACAATTTCTTTTAATCATCAGTCATTTTTAGTCAGTTTATTGAAATATTACACACGTGCATTATATATTAATTGTATTTATTTTTTGTGAAAAAATTATTAGAGATATAAAATATATGATATTAAAACAAACTGATGTGTGGATAACTGATATGTATTGTTGAAAAGAATTTTTTTGTTCAGAGACATTCTATAATCACAAATAAAACTTTAATATAATATTTAAGAGATTTTATTATCTTTCTTAACTTCTAATATGAATAATTTAATATAACGATTGTTAAGATAACGATCATTATGTTAAATTGTTCTTGTGTAAAAAAATTAAATTAAAATACATATACAAACATATAAAATAAATATAAAATATAGATATGTATTTTAACTTTGCTATATATACATATAGAATACTTAAAAAAAGTAGAACTTATTACAAGAAGTAATCATCTTCTCATGGCCACTTTTTAAGGTATATCCAGACAAATATGTATGAGCACATGATATATATAAACATAAATATAAAATAATCAATTGCTTTTTTTTACAATAAGCGCGTACAAAATTCCAGAACGTTAAAAGTGTAATAAAACGCAAAAAAGGCAAAATATCTTGCAAAAACAATATAGCGATATTAGAGAAAATGGTAAAAAGAATATACCTAAGAAAAAGAATTATCATATGAAGACTGAAAACATAGATATTGATGTAAGATATAAACATATTATTTATTTAACGCTGAACTTTTATATATTTATATATATATATATATCATATAGTCATTAAAATTTGTCTTAATATATCTCTACTCTACGTTGAATCGTCTTTGGAACAATTGTCGGCATAGTTCATCTCTGAGATCACAACCACGTCGTTCATCAACAGGATTTTCATTCCTATCTTCTGGCAGGACATGGGGTAACAACACCTGTGCATTTATATCAGCATGATTGTCGTCTTCGGGTTCTTCCATGTATTGCATATCATTAAAGTTAGCCATATTATGAAGGACGCAACAAGCGAAAATGAATTTAACGATGAACTGCATGTTCCTCAGCTTAAGGAAATATAATTGCCTGAAACGTTGTTTCAATACTCCAAATGTGTGTTCTACAGAGATTCTGCACTGACTATGTATACGATTAAAGTTTCTTTGGGCCTGTGTAAGATGTCCATTATCCCGATATGGAGTAATTAATTGAGGAAGGCATGGATATGCAGCGTCTCCAAGAATTATGTTTCCGTCTAAAAAAATTACATTTGCTTAAGATAAACATCAAAAGTTAAATAAACATTCACGATAAAGTATATGTTAACTAAATATATTAACTATATATTAACTAAAATATATTAACTAAATTAAACAAGAATAGAGATATTCGACTAAAACAATAATACAATAATTGTTTATGATTATTATGTATTCATACTGTGACAGAGTGCTGGTAAGTCTTCAGCCAGACTAGAATTTGCAAATACTCTTGCATCATGCACTGAGCCAGGATATCCAATTAACACATCTAAGAACTTGTTCTGCTCATTAACTGTTCCCTGCATGTGAATGGAAAAATAATGTTTTTTATTGATATAGGCTACTGGGTCTTCAGAAGGTTTGTCTATACGGATGTGTGAACCATCAATAGAACCTATAACAGGAAAGAAATATTAATTAAGTTATATCATTACCCACACTAAATTACAAAAATGTAAGTTTAAATTAAGTACATCATCAGAAAAAATTACATTATTATCAATTATTCCTGGAAAATTTTTATTTTCTACATAGTATCTCTGCGTTTTCTGCTTTTCTGCCTCAGTGGGATACCGAATAAATTCATTTCTTAAATTATATAAAAACTGTGTGACTCTTTGTAACACTGATTCAAGGGCACTAAGAGACAAATTAAATTTATCAGCAACATCCCTGAAACTTGCACTTTGATGCCCAGCAAACCATAGAAAAGTAAGAATGTGTTTTTCAGCCGAAACTACTTCAAATCCTCCATGTCCTATATAAAATATTAATTATACTTTATTTAAAATAAAATGAAAAACTTATGATATTAAATCTTCAATTTAAAAAACAGTACTTACCTCCTAGATTTCTAAAATGTGCCCAATAACTAAATCTGTCCACCATGCTTCTGAAAAGCATTTTTTTTAAACGATAATGCATAATAAATTCTTCATCGGTATACATTGGCACTATTTGTTCAATATAATTAGTTATGCATGTTCTACGTCTTCTTTGAATGATACCTTCAGCCATTTCAATAACTGCATTAATAGCAATATCTACAAATTACATAAAATCAAATAAAAATGCACTAACTATTTAAGGAAATGACGGTATTATACAGAATACCCCCCTCACCTTCAATTTTGACGAAAAAATATTTAATCGACGCATTTTTGCAAGAGAAACAACTTTTCTATTTGAAAAAATCGTCGCTCTGTCTTGTGGAGTGAGATATAAATTGTTAAAGTTGATGACAATTTAGGTTAGGAAATCTGTCACGGAGGCGACAGATAAGATTCCGACAAAGATTTTTTCAAATAGAAAAGTTGTTTCTCTTGAAAAAATGCGTTGATTAAATATTTTTTCATCAAAATCGGAGGTGAGGGGAATATTCTGTATAATTACCGAAAAGACAAACTAAAACTAATAATGTTCAGAGGTTATAGCAAATAAGGTTAGGATGTCACATCTTCATCAATACTCACTCTCTATTTCATCGTCGTTCTCATTGTCTTCCACAAATAAATCACAAATTACAGCTAAAGGTAAAAGATTTTCATTAATTTCATTCATAATTAATATATTAAAGCCAATGAGAAAATCTTCCAATGGATCCATGCTGCGAGTTTAATTTGCATGTTTGCATGCATCTTAAAAGAGGAGAAACTGCTCCAATCCGTTCGTGTCACTGAGTATTGGTGCACATGAACTCATCTGCTCCAACCACCATCTTATCCGTGATCCAAATGCTCCCTGGTGTACACTGGAGCATGCGACGCGAACAAACCTAAAGGCTCGTCTACAATAGCTGTAAGAGTAAAGCTAAGACTCCATGCATGCGGTGAGCTACGGCAAATGCTGCGGTGACCAATCAGGAGGGAGGCGCAAGTCCGGTTGCGGCAAGCTCCGGCATGCGTCTGTCTCCTGATTGGTCACCGCAGCCGTTTGCCGGAGCTCACCGCATGCATGGAGTCTTAGCTTTAGGCTGTAAGGCTGTAACGTAAGCTGTCAGCGAATTAAAATATTTCATTTCGCGTCTTGCAACCTTACAGCCTTACTCTTACAGCTAATGTAGACGAACCTTTACATTATCAAACTTTGGGGAAAAGTTGAATACTCCTATATGTTATTGCACAGTAGTGCAGACTGTACAGTGTGAATTTCCTTGCATATTTTTCTAAAAGCCTGAAAAAATAGTGTTGAAGTGACACTTTCTTACCAAATATATCAACATTTGTATCCTATACATGTAAAATTTGTAAAATTTGTGAGCATAAACATTACATTTGATGTTATCGTGAATTAAAAATTAGCTAGCTAAATCTGTTGATAAGCATAAAATATAAGTACCAGTCAAAATATACAAAACAATGAATACTTGCATGATAAGACACGGCGAGAAATAACCTATTCGATCCATTCTTATGTGCACAGCTTAAATATTTAACGTCAAGAAAAACTTTCTTTTAGGGGTGAAAATATGCATTCTTGGATAGGAAATTAAATATTTGGCTGAACGTTAAGCCAGCGGTACACGGTGCTTGTTTGTGTGCTGGGTTGCTTGCTGGATGAAAATACTGCGTTCTGATTGGTGCATTTCCATCTTCTATCTTCGAAAATATACCACATGTAATCTTTGTTTTCAATTATTATAAAAACTTATTATTTCCCAAACGTTAAAAACATTACAGACGTGTTTCCCAAATAATTTTATGTTAATTAAAAATTAAAAAAAATGTTTTTTTCATTGTCTGCTAACTTAACGCTTAATTAATTTTTATTAATTGCTACTAATAAACTATTATTTCTCAAACTATGAGACTATGTTCCTAAACTTCCTTAAATGATTCCTAAATGATATAAAAAGAAAAAATTAGAAAATCTTCATTTTGTCTGCTAACTTCACGGCGGTAGCAGCGTGCTCTACGCAATGTCATCTCACGCATGCGCTGTAGCGTCGCAATATATTGCATCTAGCAACTTTGATCGTACCAACTGTTTGAGATCTGTTGAGTGGTGTACTTCGCATAAATAATACAGAAAATTGAAGAAGCGACTTTGGGACGTAGCTTCGTCGTGCGTCATCGTTGTGTATCTGTGGCGTTTGAAGGAAAGTCAACGAGAGAGGAGCAACAACACGACGATGTTGAACCAGGCGGTGGTCGAAGCTCTGTACTCGGCAACGTACATTGAAAACTACCTGGATTGTGTGGAAAATCTACCGAACGACTTGCAAAGATATGTCTCCCGTCTACGCGAGCTAGACGCTACATGTCAAAGTAATTGATTGAATCCGCAATCACAGAATATCTTAACATTCCGATTTTATATTTTCTCGATCTTCAACGATACTTGTTGCTTTTTTGTGAATTTTCTAACAGATGTTAACGTCTCGTGTATATCAGAACCAGATTTCATGTTGTCAACAACGTCCATGTTTAGAACTCGAGCTGTAGACGTAACAATGCCTCCTAAAAATGAAAAAATTTAACAGATGTATGCAATATTTCTCCTTTATCTTTTTATATATCTTTTAGATAACGGTATCTTCTTTTTATTTTGGAGAATAACTTGTAAACAAGTTTTGATATGGAAAGCTAAGAAAAATCATTTTCTTTGTAAATCTAATGAAAAATTCCTGAAAAATATACTTTTGAAAATAATATATTATAAATCTTGGAATCAAACAGTTGAATAAAGAAAAAATATATAAACATATATTTGATATATATGAGGCTTTGTTATAGAATTATATAAAAGAAAGAGAAAAGCAACAAAGATGAAAAGTAGCCAATGATATTGATATAGACCCATATTCAGAACATGCTTATAACTATGTTAGTATGCTGTTAACTAATCAGAAGGCATATTGCGTGGCTTTTCATTGGTTAACAGCGCGCTGACATGGCTACAAGCGTATTCTGAATATGGGCCATAAACTTTTGATGTTATGTTATATTTACTATTTTGAATCGTTAAAAGTCAATCAAACTTATATCAGCATCAATTTATTACTACATAATATAACTTGAAAGTAAATCGTTGTTAGTATAATTTTTAATCATGATTTCTATATGTAATAAAATATAACATAAACTACTCTCTTTTTCTCTGTATATATAAGAAACTATATATAGGGATCTTTAGAAGTAATATCTCTCTCTCTATATTCATGAAATCGATTATGATATAAATTGATTGTCTAACTCAGAGAAGAATCTCTGGTACATTTTATCATATTTTACTGAATATGATATAATTATATTTAATATTTTTTATATTTGTATTGTCATCTATATGACAGCATATCTACGTGAAGTAGATCAACAGCAAGAAATATTGCGCAGTGATTCAGACATGGCAGCTAAGAGAAGAGCATTGATGAGAATACAACAAGCTCTGATTGCAGCGCAAGAAATTGGTGATGAAAAGTTAAACATTGTTCAACAAGTACAAGACCTCATAGAAAATAAGGCCAAACAGTTGGAGTTAGATTATCAAAATTTAGGTAAGTTATACCGTATAACTCTTGTTTCTATGATTTAACATATCATTCTTATAATATTTTATTGCTTTATAGATTTTGGTAAAGAACAAGAATGTTCCGAGTCTGCCCGTGAATCAAATATCAGTAGCAATACAAATAGTGCGAGTCACGCAAATAGCACAGAACGTCAACCAAAGCGTGCCAGAAGAACAAGAACTGAAACTTTGATGGAGTCGGCACATTCTATGGACATGTTAGTTATGACAGAGACAAGATCTTCAGCATTGCCCAGCACAAGCAATGGTAATCAAAAGAAGACTACTGCAGCTGCTACTGGTAAGAAGAAGAAAAGAAAATCTCGGCAAGGCAATCAGCAGAATCAGCATCGTGAGGACACACCGCCACCACCGGAGGATGATCTCGCTATCGATCCTGATGAACCCACTTATTGTTTGTGTGACCAAATATCTTATGGAGAGATGATTCTCTGTGACAATGATCTATGTCCTATAGAATGGTTCCACTTCTCTTGCGTCTCATTGACCACAAAGCCTAAGGGTAAATGGTTTTGTCCCAAATGTCGTGGTGATCGGCCTAATGTCATGAAACCAAAAGCGCAATTCCTCAAGGAGCTGGAAAGGTACAATAAGGAGAAAGAGGAAAAGTCGTAGCAGGAGGAAAATGCAGAAAAGTTTAGAAGTTTCGGCAAAGTTAATTGGACTTGATTCAGAAAAATTTCTTCAGAGAATAGAAATTTTGATCTTAAAACTGTGAATTAAAATTTCATATTCTATTGAAATCTCGGCTTATTGATACATATATGTACATGTTTCTGTAAAACTCATGTGACAAAGTCAATCAGCCACTGAAGGATGATGATATTGATTATTAAAAGCGCCATCATTACTCTTTTAACTGTAAAAACATAAACATCTCATGTTTCTAAGTCGTAGGTAATAATTGATTGTATATTACACATTATTGTACATACGACATAATATTAAACTGGGTCATAGATTTTATTTTGAACATGCTTCCAATGTCGATATTGACCAATGCTGGTTTAATATTTTCATTGGTTTGACATTAATCATTATAGAGATACTAAATAAAATAATTCATATGTGTTGAGTACACAATGTAAGTTTATTTTCATGTTCAATGTTGGTTTCATTAAAAATGAAAGAGAATATATAAATATAAAAAGCACATCATCGAAAAACTTAAATATTTTATTATTAAAATAAAAATTTATTAAAATAAACTTAAAAAATCAACAAAATTTAAACAATTTTCTGTGTTAGTAAAATTATTAAAGATGAACTCATAGAAATACGTAACTTCTTTCTTGCAAAATTTATTAATTCGATACTATATTGAATATGACATTCATTTACAATTTAACGCAAGCGTGATTCCCTATCGATAAATGTCGGATCCGAAATTAGTTACACCATGTTCTTAGTTTGTGTTGTTACATGTAGTGAAAAGAGACTTTTCACAAGCGAATTACAAACTTTCATATCCTTTAACATGAATATACTTCAAGCTCGTCTACACTTGTAAAACAGGCTCTCTCTTACGTGCGGGATGAATTATATAGTAAAACGTTTGTACGAACGTCATCTTTTTATCTTTGTTTGTGTGTTTCGCCAGAAGAGCGCCTAAAGCCTAATTATAAGAGCAGGACGATACATACTGGTACTTTAAGTGATGATCACATAAGTTCATAGTGCGAATCCGCGCCATTCCAGATTTCTACATTTTCATCTTTTTTGTCTGTAACAAAATGAAAGCCATAAAAGAAAGTTATAAGAATCACGTCTAATTTATATCTAAACGGACATGAATTAGAATATGAAATATTCAACAAAGCCTTCTATAATTTATAAGACAGCATATACGATTTGATCAAGAGATTATTGTTATCGCGTGATACGGGAACAATTTTTGTGTTAGAATGTACGATAGATTTCTCATGTAGGTTCCGTTTTTGACAATTTGAACTTTTCATCAATCAAGAAAGAGTCAAAGATAATTATAGAGCATAAGTCGCTCACAGCTAAGATAAATAATAAAAAATAAATCATATAGCACGAAAAGATACATTACAGAACAAACAAAAAATTGATCTCAGATTTATTACATTTTAAAATAGGTGATTTTATAATAATTTATTTTAGTGCAACTTTTGAAGTAATTCAAGAATTTTGCGATAGTAATATAATTAGAATAGATAGCTTGTATTTGGCATCTATTTTTTTAATAAAATAATTAAAACTGCTTGATATGAGAAAGAGAAGGAATGCTGTGTGATTTGCGTCCTTTGTATCAGATGCCATCAACGCTAAAGCCACGGGCGTATTATATTATAAGAAGTGGCATACTTAATGTCAGCGGAGATCTTCTGTGTGACTCTCTTGGAAATTTAACCAAGACTGTTCAACTACAGTGGCTACTCTCTTCTCATATTCCCGTTTATTCTCTTGGTACAATTGCGCCGCTAAAGAGTTGGCTGGCGAATTTGGGTTCGGTTCATCCAAAAGTGACTGTAACAAATAGTTTACACATTTTCTCAGCAAATCAAATACTCCTGATTTATATAGAGAAAGAATATATATGTATGTGTGTGTATATATGTGTATGTGTATATATATATATATATATAGACAAATGTAAACAGGAGTTAACGGATGGAAGAAACGAATATCGGGTTACAATAATTACTAGACTATAAAGTGAAATTATGCATTTATTATATTATTATTATCATTATTATGTATATATATTTTTATGTATGTATATATATATATTATATATATATATATATATATATATAAATGAATTTGTGTACTGAAGTACTAAATTCAATCGAAGTACAATTCTGCGCCGCCGAAAGGATCGTGTTCCTCCGCACACACAGAAAAAGAGAAACGAAAGAGAAAAGAAAACAAAGAAAAAGCCAAGTATTTTTCTTTTATATTCTAACATTTAATTACAGTACTAATTTCGTGTTCATCAGACATCGAAATAAATAAATATACGCAATTTCATAATAATTTATTATTCAACATTGTAAAAATTCGGTCTAACGTTGCACATCGTGGTAGTTCGATAGAGCTTTTCAGGAAGAAACATGCTAAGGTTCGTGTTTTTCTTTCTTTTTTTTTTTTTATTTAAACGTTAGCTCCTTGGTAAGGCTGCACGTTCTCCTCCGTATTTGATGGCTGTTGGTGGCTGACCGATGCTGCGACAGCATCGTGTTATAGCTCGCGACTAATCCACAAAACTCTGCTCCACACAAGCCTTCACTCGCTTCTCGTACTCGCGTCGATTCTCTTTGTACAGTTGCGCTGCCATTGAGTTGGCAGGTGAATTCGGGTTCGGGTCACTTAACAGCGACTGCAACCACATAAGTCGTACCCATTATACGGAGTATAATTTCGTTAAGCTCTTTTTTCTGACAAAGTGCATGGCCGTAATTATACAATGAATGGCACGAAATTGCGAATGCTTTCTTTTTCTTTTTCCCGTTTTTTTTTCTAATTCCTCTCTCTTTAATGCGAATACACGAAGAAAATGAAAATACATATCGGCGGACAATTATAAGATAGTCATATATGTAAGTGTAAAATTATGCAAGTGTTATGCACAAATAATTTTAAATCGGTATCATGTGATTAGACTTTGCTGAATTGCAACCGCTGTTAAGACAAAACGAACGATCCCTCCAGGCGTTTTTATAGTGTGTGATTAACAATGAACAACAAAAGTCTTTTGAAAACGATGAGAGATGGGCGAGTGACATTTTCACGAAAAAATAAGACAACACAGTGAGATATAGTTTGTATGAAATGAAAACACAAAGATACTTAATGTAAGAAAAATGTAGAATCTCCATATTTTATTTCATTGTTTATATTATTAAACATTTAATTGCCATGCAAAATAAATTTTAACTATCTCAATGCAATTTTCGAAAAAGAAAGTATATATTAGAATAAATATTAGATGCATCACCTATATATATTAATAGCATCAAGCTATAATTATAATATAATTTGATATTATGTATCTCTCTGACACTATATTGTAATAGAGTAAATCTCATTTCTTTTTTCTTTAAATATTTTAACGTGCAATATATCCATGTAATAATAATGGAATGAAAGAGAAAAGATACATGTCATGCTATAGAAAGAAAAAAAGAAAGGGAGAGAGAAAAGTTAGTTGTGTCCTTCATATTTTTAATATAATTATAACAAGAAAATATTAAAAGCAGCGTTATTATATGTATATATGCATATGTATGTATGTGTGTGTGTATATATATACATACACACAAAATATTGATTTTAAAACGCCACAACCTGACAAATTGAAACTCCGTATACTTACTTAAAAACCCTCACTTTAAGCTAAAAAGAAGTGAATTTAATGAAATTATAAGTACCTGTATAGATGTTAAGATAGCTGAGACATCGTAAGTAGGACTCCAACGATTTTGAAGTATGTCAAGACAAATTCCACCATCTGCATATACATTGGGATGAAACATTTTACTAACAAATCTCACTGTAGGTGGTTTATTTGGATATTCCTCCGTGAATTCTATTGTAAGCTTAAATGTGCCATCTTCGAATGGGGTATCATGTGGTCTAGAACAAAAATATAAGTGTTTTGTAATCTTTCACATAAGATCCACAAGTGGGAAGATTCGTAGAAACAAAATCAGAATGCCACTTTCTTACCCAAATATAACTGCATTCCATATCATAATATTATTGTCTGTCGGAGCACCTGATACTCCAGTAGGAGGATCTTCCTGTAATCTTTGTCAAAATAATAAACTTTTAGAACTTTGCATTATAAATAATCAATTCATATATACAAACATATATATCATGAAACTTTATCTAATCTTTACTAATGTGTATGTACTAGTACAGAATGATGTATCATCTATGTTTATACAGTAATATTTCATTTAAAAGAAAACAAACAGTATGTACTATTTTATGGATTATTCATTAGAAAAGTTGATGCAATAAAAAAAGAGCACAAGTGATTCAGCTAAAATGCAATGTTTATACATTGGGAAAATGTTCCTATTTATTTCAGACAGCTGTAAAGTTCAATTTCATTAATTTCTGAAAATAGGCTGCAAGGTAGTAATTTATATAACTCGCAGCTCGACATCCTTGTGAATGCTTTGTTACGACACAGTACTCGTGACAAGTTCGTCAAATGTCATACATCGCGCGAAAACTTTTTTATACGTTTGAAATCACACACCCCTATCCAATTTCATTACAAAGACAAACGTGAATCATTCCGGCTTAGTCGCGGACTCGTCTGCCGAGGATTCATAGATTGTTCCCGAGGTGATGATCAGGCGACCGCGTGTCGCAGATGGTGCCTGCTGGAAGTATCACGCACGGCGAGGGCGGTTTGTTTATCGAGTCAGGAGGTGGGGATGTGCTTGCACTTGACGGAGGGCAAGCGCGAAGAGAGACGTGTCATAAGAACGGCACGCTATCTAATAATAATCGTGGTGAAGCGACTGACGTTCGCGCTGAGAACCGCTAAGTTTGCCGCGGCTGTCGAAGAGAATCAAATCATATCGGGCGCACCAGAAGCCGTCGCGCTTACAATGGCGTTATGACGAGAGCGCGATCGAACGAGCGAACGAATAAACGGACAGATGGGGACAATGCGTTAATATCGGTATCAAGTACCTCTTGAAGTCTCGCATCAATCTTCTCCTCGCGGGGGTGGACATCCCTCACAAATGGGCTCGTCGCTTACTTTTTCGAGCGATGACGGTGATGGATCACGCGAGAGGCCCTCTCTCACTCTCTTTCTCTTTGACTCGTGTATGTGTATGTATGTGTAGATGCGTGCACACGCTGCGCCGGACGACGACGACGACGACGACGACGACGACGACGATGATGACGACCACCTTCCTCCTCCGCACCTTCCGCACGTCGGCTACCCAAGGGGCCAAGTCCGACGAAAGAAATCGCGGCACCCACACGCGTGTACAATCACACACGGAAGGGAAGGGTGTAGGAGGAAGAGCGCTCACTCGCGTCCGTATGCATGTACGTACAGATGATATAGCACGCAGAACGCGCGCGTTCTCTCTTACCACGCGCGCGCATGCACGCACGACGCACGCACACGCGACAGGCGAGGGTTATTTCTTACGAGGTTGCGGATTTGCGACGCGAGAGCGAGCAAGAGAAAGAAACAGAGAGGGGGGAGGGAGAGAGAGGAAAGTGGACTATGAAAGGCGCGAGAGAAACACAGAAAGAGATAGAGAACGAAGCTCGTTGGTTGTCTCTTCCTTCAATTCTTGTCAAGTCGCGTCCGTGAAGGTCGCCCTGTTTTCGATACCGTTATGGAAATGCACGAATTCGGTCCCACCTTGACGGCCTACGACGGCGCCGACTACGTTACGACAACGGTCACTCGTCGGTCTGCGTACCGACCCCGTTTACTTCGATCGAACGTGCGTATGTCTGGTCGACGTGGACTCGAAACTCGCTTTCTTTAGCCGCGGCGAAGAATCCCCGCCAACGTCGAGACCTTCACGCAGTCCACGATCGTTCTCGAGAAAATTAGCCTCGCCGACTGCCAAACGGTTTGCTCGACAGCTGGATAGAAGATTGCGGTGGGGATAGTGAAGTGAGCTGTCTCTGATTGTCTCGGAATGTCCGAGTGACGTCACCGACCGAGTAGAGTCGAAGTGGACTTCGTCAATGTGCATGTGTGCGCCTGCGCGTCAGTCTGGTGATCTTGTAACTTTTTCTCATGAGTGGAAATGTGAGGATGCGAAAAGTTTTGTCATTTCGTAGTTCAAAATTCAAATTTTGTATTTCAAAATTACATAACTAAACACAAAGTTACATCACTAATAATAAGATCGTTGAATTCATATAAAACCTCATTTCTCGCGTTTTCACTCCACTGCAGGGAGAAAGTTACACGATCGCTTTTCTATTTAGTTCGTAAAAACAGTCTAGACAACTTTTACGTCTAAGTCACCACATTTAGGGTGCAACCAGAGAGAAGCCTGAGAGCGGGCATGGCTGCATTAAAGCCAGCGGCATACGGTGCTTGTTTTTGTGCTGGATTGCTTGCTGGATGAAAATACTGCGGTCTGATTGGTACATTTCCATCCATCTTCGGAAATGTACCAAGCAGAACGCAGTATTTTCATCCAGCAAGCAATCCAGCACGAAAACAAGCACCGTGTGCCGCTGGCTTTACAGCGTTATCGAAAAGTTGGCTGATTCGAAGCGCCAACTGGGTCCATTTTTCATGGATATGAACTACTAAGCCAATGTCCACGATTTGTTGGTACTATTCCGTGCTATGTCCATAATTATTTGGTTCTGTTCTGTGCTATGTTCACGAGCGAGCTAGATTAGTTAGATAAAAACGGAGAATCGGTCTTTGTCTCACCACCAGCGAATAGACAATCGCGACGATAAACTGAAGCGAGCCAGTGGTGCGATTCTGTAACTCGTTATTGGAGTTAACGACACTTTCGTTATCGTTGCGCAGCTTTTCTACGGTATACAAAAGCTGCGCAACGATAACGAAAGTGTCGTTAACTCCAATAACGAGTTACAGAATCGCACCACTGGCTCGCTTCAGTTTATCGTCGCGATTGTCTATTCGCTGGTGGTGAGACAAAGACCGATTCTCCGTTTTTATCTAACTAATCTAGCTCGCTCGTGAACATAGCACAGAACAGAACCAAATAATTATGGACATAGCACGGAATAGTACCAACAAATCGTGGACATTGGCTTAGTAGTTCATATCCATGAAAAATGGACCCAGTTGGCGCTTCGAATCAGCCAACTTTAGAGTCCCTATAGTAAGAGTCTGGCCAATGTTCTATTTGGATACAAAATGGCTACTATACCTGTACTGCACCTACTGTAATCTCGGTTTCACGCGTGCACATGCAAGTGATAACATAACATCATTTCATCTTGGAAAAAACTTCCAACATAATAAGAGGACTATTTATAAAGATATTTATAAAAATATTTTAAAAATGACTGGTTGTTGCATACCGGGATGCAGAAATAGAAGCGAAAATGGCTTCTATATGAAACGTTTTCCAATAAGTAAAGAACAAAAAATTATATGATTGAAACAAATTGGAAGAGAAAACTGGAAACCGAAACAATATTCAGCAATTTGTGAGGTAAGCATATAATTATATCAAATAATAAACAAAACATGTTTCTCATCTAATTGTATTTGTAGGTTCATTTTACTAAAGAAATGTGGGAAGAACCGCGACAGGATGGTTCCAAGAAATTAAAAGCACAAGCAGTGCCAACAAGTTTTCCTCATACAAAAGTAATGTCAGAATATTTCGATGGAAAAATAAAGAAGTTAAAATATAATAAAAACAACGATGAAAATAATGAAGAACCTACAAGCATTGTATTCAATTGTTCTCAAGTTGTAAGTAATGTTGATGAAGAGCATCCTGCAATAGAGAATAATTCATGTCCACCATTTATTGACAATGTTGAAGTATATGATCAGATGATACATGGCAATACTCATTTATTATCGTTAAGTGAAAATAATGTAAATAATGAGAACACAAATGTGCCTGCAACTACATCCTCATCAATATTCAATGTAACATCATCTACATTGGAATATGCTTTAGAACAAATAACATTATTACATCAAAAGCTGGAACATAAAGAAACAGAAGTAAAACAAATGAAACAACAACTTGAGATTGCTAATAAAGTACTTAAGAAATGTGACAAAACGCGAGAAACTCTCATGAATCGTATTAGACGATACAGAAGTACAAATAAGCTACGTGTAGAAAACACTTTGTCATAATCAACACAGTTACTCCAAAAAGTGTTCAACAATGATCAAATTGAGTGGTTAAAATCAAATTCAAGCAATCGACGTGTGTACAAGTGGTCTAAAAAAACTATTAAAAAAGCTATTCGAATAAAATTCTCTTGTACTAATAGTGGTTATCAAGAACTGATTAATCAAAAGATTCCATTACCATTAACACACACTTTAAGAAGAAGTCTTTACCCCAGGAATAATAGATGATATTTTTCATGCCATGAAAGAGAAAATTCAACAATTTGAAGATGACAGACAACATGATTGCGTACTTGGCGTTGATGAAATGTCTCTTACACCTGGTGAACAACTTGATCCTTGTACAAATTCAACTTTAGGGTTTTCTATTATTCCCAACAGTCATGATAACTCCTATACATTTTCCTTATAATATAAACAGGAAGTTTCTTTAATTCTGCTCATCTTAATATCTTTGTTATCTGAAATTATAGTAATATTAAAATTATCGAAATATTAAAATGAACAGAATAAAATAATTATTCCGTATGATTTCATTTTCCCGATGAATATCCTAGTTTCATTTTCCTATGAATATCTTATTATAATCATGGTACATTTTTGTATTTTACTGGTATGTTTTTATAAATGTTCACCGTTGTAGCTCTTTTATTTACAAGTTTGGAATTTTTGTTTATCAATTTGTACATTATTATTGCTCTAAAAATATTCATTTATTTATTATGATGTATTTCCAGCAAACAATTTGGTAGCAAATTGTCGCCAAATTGGCACCAAACTTGTACAAAGTTTGCTGTCAAATCCGGTGCCATCTGTGTCCTCAATAGCATCGGAATTTGCTAGCAAAGCTTATATACATATTCTGATGCCAAATTGGGGCCAAATAATGAGTAAGGCTTGCTGGCAAAACTATATAGAAAATTGGCGCCAAGATCCCAGCAAGACTTGCGGCCAAAACATCACACCAAATTGTCACCAAATACCGAGCAAACTTCGGCGACAATATTACACAGCAAATTGACGCCAAATACCGAGCAAAGCTTGGCGATAAAACCCTATAGCAAATTGACGCCAAATACCGAGCAAAGCTTGGCGACAAAATCTTGCAGCAAGTTGACGTCAAATACCGAGCAAAGCTTAGTGACAAAATTCCACAGCAAATTGGCGCCAAATATCGAGCAGATTCTGCCATATTCATTTATTACACCCCTCCCACTTCAACCAGGTAGCTTAGGTTCAAGTAAAGCAAGGAGTACATATTTTGGCCAAGTGTATAATATACAATGCAAAAGCAAATGAATTTATTAGAATCATTCATTGTTTACGTACAGCTGGAAATGACTTCTGATAATGCATTTGCTTGTCAATTATATATTATGCACGAATCTGTGTTCCCCGCTTAATTATTAAGTAAAATCAAATATGTTAATAAATTTTTATTAATATTTTACAAATTTATTATACTTAATGATTTATTATTAATGTAACAATTTTTTTAATTTGTTACAATGTCGAAAATACACTAAAATATAAGGCTAATATTACATTTGTCGTACGACAATCTTTTCGAATACGTTGATTGTCAACAAACAGAATATTTCTAGGATTGCTCCGCGTACGTCAATCAATGTATCCGAAAAGCTTGTCGTACGATACATGTAATATTAGCCTAAGTTGGCACTAAAAAGTGCCGATTCAGATATTGGCATTCAAAAATGCCTTTTATTGCACTGAGGTGTTCCCGTTATGTTTTAAAAATAGGCGCTGAAAAGTACCGATTTACTCCTCTCTCTTCGAGAAGAGAACGTGTGGTATGTACATGCGTGTGTATGTGTGTCTGTGTGTGTGTGTGTGTGCGCGCGCGCGTGTGTGTGTGCGTGTGTGTGCGTGCATGTTGCACCCTCCTCTCTCTCTCTCCTTCTCCCCCCCTCTCTCTCTCGACCTCCTGCGACCATGAGTGTTGTCTTCGACCTTATCCTCGTCCCATGCATCTGTAAATTTAGAAATTTTTTATATTTTTTAATATATATGACGGACGCGATTAATAGATGAGGTCAAATAAAATACAGGGAACGGAAATGAAAAATTGATGATATAACTTTACTACCAGTAATCAATGAGGAATGATCCCTGCTGTAAATGCTTTGCTACATTTCTCTCTTACATGACCCTATTTCTGTATTATTTCATGAATGTAGGCATTTTTCAGTGATATTCAATATATACATATTAAACAACATATCGTGAAATGTATTGAATATTACAGAAAACTGTATACATTGGCTGCGTTCAGAAGAACAAAATGATCAGTGAACGGTTAGTGATTCTCGCTCCTGATTGGCAAATACTTCTGGGCCTATGAAAAATATAAAAGAATGCTCCAGTCACAGACAAAATAATCACTAAGCGCTCACTGATCACTTTGTTCTGCTGAACGCAGCCATTAACGAAATAATATTGAAATTGCGTCATATGTGAGGGAGAAATTCAGCTAAATATTTCCAGCAATGTATCACTCCTCACTGTTCAGATACCACACAATATTTACAAGATATTTTAAAAACATAGATGTTGGATATATTATAAATATTCTAATGTCTGAGATTTTCAACTATGGAAAAAATATGATAAATATCTAAAAATATTTATGATATTGTTCATACATCTTTTATAAATCGGAATTCTTTTTATAAACATACGTATGACAAACATGTTTAGATATTTATCATACCCTTTTCATACCTGAAAATGTCGGACATTAGAATATTTACGAAATATTCAACATCTATATTTTCATAATATCTTGTAAATATTGCGTGTTTATTCAACAGTGCTATATACCTTATATCGGGTCTTGCTGGTCCTGCTCCTTTTCCTCGTCTGCACGCTCGTCGCTCCATAAGTCGCGCTGTATCCTTGGGCCGGCTGCCGTTCTATGTTGATTACGTCCTCTGTGGCGGTGTCGTTCCTTCGCTGTCCGAAGCGTCCGAAGAACATCTTGCATCTATATAAAGCGTGGTCTACAATGGCCGTAAGTAGTAAGAAGAAAGTATGAACAGTAAGAAATGGACCAACCACAGTTGACTATTTTTGTCATAATCGACTGTGATTGGTTTATTTCTTACCGCTTATGCTTACTTCTTACTGCTTACTGCCATTGTAGACCACGCTTTAGAGATGTCGATATCGAAAAAAAAATATCGCATTTGAATACATTCGCCAAATTTAAAAGTACTCATATCGATATCGAATAAGCAGTCAAAATATCGAATAAATGTCGAATAATTCAGTAGTCAATAAGAACCCAGCAAACACAATAAGCCTGTTCGTTTTGTCTGCACTGCTGAACTGATGCATTAAGTTAAAGTGAGACAAAAGTAGGTTTTCTCACTTCAACTTGTTGCACCAGTTCAACAGTGCAGACAAAACGAACAGGCCTAATATTACATGTAACGTGCATGTTAGTTGTAATTTTCTACTCAACAATATAACTGTTATTGTTGAGTAGGAAATTACTACTAACATGCACGTTATATGTAATATTGGCTGCGTTCAGCAGAACAAAATGATCAGTGAGCGCTTAGTGATTGTCTGTGACTGGAGCATTCTTTTAGATCCTTCATAGACCCAGGAGTATTTACCAATCAGGAGCGAGAATCACTAAGTGCTCACTAATCACTTTGTTCTGCTGAACGCAGCCAATCAGAATGTAACATTTCTAGTATGTCACTAAAACTAGCATAAAAACAAGCACCGTGTGCTACTGACTTTAGCTTTATATTAAAAAAATCACTTTTAAAAAAATATTCAATAAATATTCGCTGAAAAATATATTTATTCGATTTTTATTCATATATTTTCTATTCGATATTTGTATATCGAAATGAAAATAAGATCGAATATTCGATAATTTCTTAGAAATGAATTATGTAATTGTACATTATTTGCCTTATATTAAGCAAAGCAATTATAACATTGTTAATTTCCTTATTGAAAAAATGGAAGATATTGAATGTACTGCATTAAAAACGTGTCACAATTTATCTCACAAAATTAAAATTCGTTTCATTAATTTTAAAATAAGAAAAAGTTGTCACACTGGAAAATTAGAAAAACCTGTTTTTAATAGTAAAATCATGGCTATGCATTCCGTTATTAGATAAAATTTAATAATGTTATTACATATGTAATATTTTTTTAACTTTATGTAATATCAAAATTTAATAATAAAAAAATTGCAAAAATGTATTTTAATTTTCCTTTTCCCTGTTACTGCTATTCAAATATCTCGCATACTTTGCTATCACTAATTGGTGGCGCCATTTCGTATCCAGCCAATCAAAAATTGGACCACATTGGCCAGACTCTTACTATAGGGACTCTAGCCAACTTTTCGATAACGTTGTAAATGCAGCCATGCCCGCTCTCAGGCTTCTCTCTGATATTACCTTACCTGATATTACCTCTCTGATACTACCTTGATGGTAGCGTATAAAGCGACCATTTTCCAAAAATCACTATGTTACACGAAGCTATTTTATTGGCTACATATTATCTAAAAAAAATATATATCTGAAAGAATTTATAGTCAATAAAATAATTTTATATAATACAATGTTCCTTGTTGAAAAATGGCTAATATAGCATTGCGGTGGGTATACGTGTTTATGAACATCTAAATAATGACGAATTATAAAATTAATATTTGTTGTTATATATATACGATTACACAAACATTTAGATTTTTATATTGAATGATTGGAAATGTAAGCTGAACGAATTTATGTAGCAATATCAATTATCTCTCTCTTTCAAATTATCCGCATATTATAACATAAATTCGAACTCACCAAACGACAAAATGTGCTTAACTTCCGGATGAATTTTCATTGGTTGTCTAATGTGATGATGTAAACGATGGAGGGACAAAAAACTGAATAGTGCGCATGCGTAGTTGCTAGTCTTTAGCGAAGTCTCTTTGCCGTAAGTAGAGGTGAAACTCTTTTACTGCGGAAGAATGGCCGATTCGTAAGTAATCTCGACAACTCGAAGAAATCCAATTGCATCAATGAATAATATGATGACAAACTTGCAAAAACATGTTAATTATTTCTTTAAAAATGCACTATTAATAAATTTATATTTTTATCTTAATGAGCAAAATAAAATTATTGACATGAGCTATTGATATAGCGTCGCTCCTCGTGAGACATAATGGTGCGATTGTGTAATTAATATTAAGCATAAAATGCATGTAATTTGTCAATGAATGCAAGTTTATATTTCTGCGTATTGTAACATTTTTGCACATAAATGAAAAGTTTAGAGAAACTTTGAGGGAACTTTACAAATAACATAACCTAATGTTACTATAATACATTTATCTACCAAACATGTGCCTATCAGAACGTTTTAACAAATAATCGCGTTTTTCTATGCAGAAAGAAAGAGACTGACCCGCCTGCAAGCACTAATAAACTTCCGGCGGTGCCGGAATCTGTCTTAAAAAGAAGGAAACGTCGTGAAGCAGTTAAAGCTGCACGTCTGCAGATATCCATTAAGGTAATTTTTATTCACAAAGAATTTTTGTATATATTGTAAAACAAAACTTCAATTTCTTAATTGTCTAAAATTTCATTTCTTTCACAGCAACGTGCAAATCGTTATAAGAAAAGGAAAGAAATTTTCAAAAGAGCAGAAAAATATGTAAAGGAGTATAGGCAAAAAGAAAGGGATGAGATTAGGTTGATGAGACAGGCTAAGACGTAATTATTACATTCTGGTGAAGCACGTTTGGCTTTTGTCATTCGTATTCGAGGGTAAGTACTAATATAACTTTTTTAGCATTCATAATATTCTTTTTTTTAAAGCTGTATATAAATATAATTAATAATTTATATTTTTTCTCGAAGAACTTTAAATAGTTTAACTATTATTTTAGTGTGAATCAAGTTGCACCAAAGGTACGAAAGGTACTTCAACTGTTTCGACTGAAACAGATTAATAATGGTGTTTTTGTTAAACTAAACAAAGCAACTATTAATATGTTGCGTATTGTTGAGCCCTATATCACATGGGGATATCCAAATTTGAAGTCTGTTCGTGAATTGGTTTACAAACGTGGATTTGCTAAAATAAATAGGCAACGCATCCCAATAACTAGCAATGCCATCATTGAGAGGAAGCTTGGTGAGTAAAATATCTTTTAGCATCTGTGTAAAATTAACAACTAAAATTAAAAAATATTGCTGGCAAATATAATTAGCATGCATATTATGTTTTCTTAGAATAATATTCTTTTTGACAAATCCATGGGAGTTTGGTTTACATAGAAACATTCTCTCTTCCAGTTTGTCAAAAATTAATAAAAAATTTCTGGAAAAACCCAATTACATAATTGTGTTTGGGTTTGACAGTGATTTGTACAAGAACATGCAGCAATATCTAATTTTCATTAACAAATAAATTAAATTACAGTTTAATTTAATATATTATATTGTTTAGGTCGTTCTGGTATTATCTGTACTGAGGATTTGATTCATGAAATTTTTACCGTTGGCCCAAAGTTCAAATATGCCAGCAATTTCCTATGGCCTTTCAAGGTATATTTAAAAGAACAATATGTCAAGTGCATAAGAGTATACTACGACATAGGCATGGTTATAGAATATTTTGTCTATCAACCTCCTATTATGTCGAAAAGTAACAAGAGTTTCTCTGACTGACAAGTATTGTTTTAAAATAATATGTTCAAGATAAACTCAAACATTTTTACTTTAATTTATATAAAGTAGAGAAAAAAGTTTGTAATGTTTAATGATTATATATCTTTTAATGGTATATATATCTTAACGATTTATATATAGTTATAAGAATTTAAATTACATGTGTGTGTAAATAAATTTTTCTAATTTTACAGTTAAACACACCAAATGGTGGATGGCGCAAGAAGACTAACCACTATGTAGAGGGTGGTGATTTTGGAAACCGGGAAGATAAAATTAACGAACTCCTCCGAAGAATGGTGTAGGCTTATAAAGACTGCAAATACAATGTCTAAAATTAAATTTTTATTATTTATTTTATGTATATATATATACCCTCCTATTCTCTACTTCCTTTTCTCTATTTTAGTTAGAAAGTTAGATATGCACCTTAAGGGTCTGCAGAAGCCAGAGACAAATCCAGCGTTGACTTTGGAGGCCTCGTGCGACGAGATCGCGAACCAACACCGTGCGCGCGAGCGCAAGAGCAGGAAGGTTGGGTCAAGTCAGTTTGACAAGGACGAACAATCGATCGCGCTATCCTTGTCTTGCTCACTCGGGCATTTCGCCGGCCAATACACGGCGAGAAAATGCTTTCCAGGCTTTTGGGCGAGTGAGCCAAGTGTCGCAGCGACTTACGTGCAATATCATTTTACAAATTGACCTATTTTGTCTAGCTGACGTTATACATCACCGCCAAATTATTATAGCATGTTTCTTATATTATTCCCGAGATCCCCACAAAGCCAGATTTTGCAATCCGGCCGTCCAAAATTTATGAAAAATAAATGAACCCGCCGTACCAAACATCGCAGCGAATCACTCCAAAAATTATCTTACGAGATGCAAAATTTCGCTCGTTAACGATATGTATAATTGCTAAACTGTTATAGCATCTTCCTTGAACTATCCCTGAGGACCTTACACAGCCAGATTATACAATTCAGCCGTCCAAAATTTATAATAATATACATGAATAAAGCATCAGCCGTGCTAGGAGTTGCAGCGAGTCAGGTGGAATACCATTTTACAAGAAGCAATATTTTGCCTTGTTGACGTAATATATGACTATGAACTTGTTACAGCATCTTCCTACAACTATTCCCGAGATCTCTACAGAGTTAGATTTTACAAACAGGCCGTCAACAATTTACTATATATAAATAAAGCGTCAGCTGTATCAAATATCGCAGCGAATCAGGCAGAATACAATTTTACAAGAACAAATATATTGCCTCGTTGACAATATAACATGTTATATAACCGCCAAATTATTATGGTATCTTCCTTGAACTATCCCTGAGAACCCTACAGAGCCAGATCTTGCAATCAGGTCGTAAAAAATTTATCATATATTAATAAAGCGTCCGCTGTACCAAGCGTCGCTGCGAATCACTCGAAATATCATTTTACGAGATGCAATCCCACACGGCACATGATATTATTCGTATATACTGTTTTCATACTAAATATACTATAGATATATTTAATATACTGAGAATATCCCTATAATATTTTTCGTAGTATATTATTTTTCGCATATTTTTAGAATATACGTAATTCATCAATAATATTCAGTTTATTTATCGAATATTCTAGAAATATTCTAATATTATCAACAATATTTTAATCATTAATCGGACATATCCCTTCTACAATAAGCAATTAGTCATAAGCCGTAAGCAAATTGACCAACCACAGTCGATTATTTAAAAAATAATCAAATGTGATTGGTCAATTTGCTTACGGCTTTTGATTAATTGCTTTATATTGTAGAAGGTGTCTAACAACACAGGTATCCAAGAAACGTTCAGAGTACGTCCTGAAGATGACTTCGGGATGTTTCTTCATCCTCAGGACGTCCCTGGGATGTTCTTAGGAGATCTTGTGTTGTCTGGAGCCACCCAACCAGAATTGGGCGGAGGCCCGATTCTGATTGGATGGCTTTTAATGCTTCTCTATTCCACTCTCCGCTTTCCGTGTCCATCTGAACGCACGTAGTCACGTCTTGTTCGCCTCCGTGGCGGTTGGATGTGGTTCTGTAACTGCGCATATTTTTGATCTCGGGGACTGCGTGCGCGTTGTCCCTGTTTCTCTTTTATTTCCAAAATCGTTGTGATTGGCGTAGGAGAAGGAGTGTAATAACTCTGCTCAGAGCCACATATTGAACGAATGAATTGAACGAGTAGTCACGTCGTATACGAAGATCTTAATATAAGGTAATAATTATATAATTATTTTATTTATAAAATAACATTAACTATTATGCATTAATAAATTTGTACCTCAATAGATATTTTGTTAGATAGGCCAATTCATTGTATAAAATTTTATATTTTTTTCAACTTGTCTTTCAAGGTTATGTGGCACAAGAATAATTAACTTCAGGTTGTTACACTATTTTTCCTATTTTCTTGATAGTTATAAGTTATTCAGACTGCGTCTCAATTTTCCTCTTTAATCCATATAATAATACTGCGTTTATCCCTTATTCTATTTTTCCTTAATTCTTCGTCGTACTTAACTCTTTCTTGATTATATTTATTGCACCACTATATCATATAGTCAATATTCTCTTTTTCATATCTACAGTCGCACTTAGTGCTATCTATATATACCCCTTTCTGTGAAGAGACTCATTAAAATTATAATGGTTAGCTCTTAACCTGTTGATGAAAGTAACAAAATATCTTTCTTCGTTGAAATTCCTAAATCATGGTTACTTCTCTTCTCTGTTGTAAAATCTCCCAAAATATTTAATATCTTTGAATCCTGAGTCTCTAATAAGACTCTTTTGTGTGTTAGACCATATTTCTTGTTTAAAAAAAACTCTTAAATCTTTAAAACGCACTATTTCTAACAGCACAGATATCCAAGGAACGTCCTGCATACATTCTGAGGATATAGCAATATCCTCAGAATGTTCTTGGGACATTCCCAGAAGTGCTTTCTTGTGCTGTCAGGGACTATTCATTATCATAATAACAGGAAAATATTCAGAACATTTTACATATTTTTTTGCCTCGATTGGAAGAGAAACTGTTGTTTAATAGACATATCTTTTTATTTTAACGTATGCTGTAATAATTTTTGTCGTGCAATTTCTCACTTTTGACATAATTAAAGATAGTCTCAGAGAGGATCCATAGAGTCATAATATATATAAATTAATAAATGTCATTAGACGAAATATTGAACTAATATTAACTCTGTACTTACATTTCAGATTAAACAATTGGTTCGAGTTGTATGCGAGGATTTAAAAACATCATGTGTAAGATTAATTAGACAAATCTTCAGCAATGAATTAACCATGGAATACAGCTGGTATGGAGCGAAAAAGAAAAATGTCTTCAGCAACTTACAATTGTGCAAAATAATTATATGTAAGTAAAATATACAATCAGAATATACATACAGAATTGTAAATCTTAGTTTTTAATTAATAGCATAATTGATAATTTAGAAGAGGCACGCCGCCTCCGATTTTGCTAAAACTCACATATTTTATGTATTTTCACGTGTAGAAGCCGAATCTGAATTAAAAATCATTGCTCGGCTCTATAAAGCGAGAAAAATATTGTTTAAGATAGAATATGATAGATTAAGAAACTTGTCATTGCAAGGTAAAGTCTGTTCGTTACACTTATTGTATTAGCGTAGTGCAGTATAACAACTAAATGAAAATACTTAAATTAAGAATATTTATATAAATAATTTTGTCACATGTCACCTTGCATAGGGGCCTTTGCTAATCTTTTCAGAATTTGTCATTTTAATGTATGGTAGACTCATTGATTTAGTAAGATTTAAACGAAGATTTAAAGATATATTCTTTTATAATTATTGTACATAAAATAGGAGTTATTTTGTGTACAATTCAAAATAAGACCTATCTTGTGTACAATAATTGCAAAAGAATATATTTTTAAATCTTTGCCTTACTAAAGTGATGAGTCTACCTTATATTAAAATGACAGATTCTGAAAAGATTAGCAAAGGCTCCTATGCAAAGGAGAATGTATCATGAATCAAAAGCGGAAGAATCATAGCATATGTTATTTTATTGCGTAACAAGAGGAACAAGATCAGTCCTACATAATGAGATAGCATATATTTACATTCTTCTGCTTCTGATTAATGATACACTCTCCCTTGTCCCTAGGGACCTTTGCTAACCTTTTTAGAATCTGTCATTTTAGTACATATAAGGCGAAGATTTAAAGATATATTCTTTTATAATTATTGTACACAAGATAGGAGTTATTTTGTGTACAATTCAAAATAAGTCCTATCTTATGTACAATAATTATAAAAGTTTAGTTGTATACTGCGCTACACTAATACAGTAAGTACAACGAAGAAACTTTACCTTGCAATGACAGGTTTCCTAACCTATCATACCTCTATCTTTAACAATTTTTTTCTTGCTTTATAGAGTTGAGTAACTATTTTTACTTTTGGATCCGGTTTCTACGAGTCAAAATATATATGATACGTGAGTTTTAGCAAAATTGGAGGCGGTATGCCTTTTCTAAATAATTACCAAATGTTTAAACAAATATTTAAGTAATCTCTTTATTTATATATTTACATTAACATAAAATTTTTCAACTTTCTTTTAAGGAACTTAAATGAGAACAGATATTTATTTAAAGAAAACACACTCTCTCTCTCTAATTACACTGATTTTTAAATATTATATTCCAAGTGTGATAAGAAAGTCGCATACAACTGCAACAGACGAACAAATTTCTGCTCCCATCAAGATCTAGCTGGCTCATGCAAAGGAATGTGCAAATAAACAAAAAAATAATTGAGTTATTTTAGATTTTACATATATATATATATATAATTTATGAAGAGTTATAATTTATAAAGTTTATAGTTTATAAAGGCAGTATAAGTTTGTTAAGAGTTCATTTATATGTTTATTTATATATGTATAAAGAGTTAATTTATATGTTAAACTAATTTTAAAAATATATATTATAACATATATAATATATAACCAATTTGTCATTTTTATTATACTCAAAAAAAACCTGCAGAATATTTATATATTATATAAATATTCTACAAATATACTAACAATAAACTAGGAAATATTTCTAATCGATACTAGTAATATTATTAAAATATTATTTAGATATACCTACAATATAATACGAAATATTCTCAGTATACACTAAGTAGACTGCGAAAGCGGACATAGGAACATTCTCAGTATATTCTCAAAATATTACAGTACGTATTTCGGATATTCATGGAATAACCGCAATTTACGTTTGCGATATACTGAGAATCTGCTTAGAATCTACCTGTGCTGTATGGGAATTTATATACGGTCATTTACATGACTTCTTATTGGCGTCAAAATGCTATACCACTTTGACGTCATATTTCAGTCATGAACTGACGATAATTGCGTACTAATATAATTATTTATAACGTTGATTCCGTAATAACAATTCTTTAAAATTTCATATCAGACTTTCGATAAATATTAAAAGAGGTTTGTTTATATATAAATATATTAATATACAAATATATAATATATATATAATATATATATATATAAATATATTTATATATTTTATATATATATATATTTGGCATATTCCTTTAGAACGAAAAGTGTACGTCAATCAAATGCAAGAACTCACTTAGCGTTCAGTGAGCTGAACGTTTGCAGTACTGAATGCACCCATTGGTCGTGCTGGCTTCGCGTGTTCCGTTGTGCATGGGCGACTTTAAGCACTCGACGTGGAAAAGTGCAAATGGAGATCAGTGAAATATCTCTCTCGTTCGCTCATTCGCAAATTAATTACTATGTTAGTGCATATGTCATATAGCTTGTGCTTATACAGGTCAATAGGTTAATGTAAAGGCTGAGTACTGAATGTAAGTACCTATTAAATGTATATTTTATCATTAACCTTGAAAATCACGTCATGGACAGTGATGGGAATCATGACCTTTTGACACATCTATGCACAGATACTTTTCAATCTGTGGGGAGGGAGAAGCTCGATTACATTCAGTTTATCGTAAAAATATTGCTATTTATATCGCACGATAAACTGATTGTAGGTTGAGCACACAGATAGAAAAGTCTCTGTGGCGTAGGAGTGCCAAAAGGCGAAGCCCCACAAAAACATACGTGGATTCCATGTGGCATGCACGTTGTATTCACGTGAAATCCACAAAATCACATGGATTTCACGTAGACACAACGTTCCTGTTTTCGTGGGGGAGATTCCCATCACTGGTCATGCCCAATGAGAAGGGGACGTGAAATCTAAGTAGATTTACGTTAATAGTTTACTTAGGTTAAATACGTCCAATGCAAGTTAAAATAAAATTAATCTGTAGTAATAACTTATTTGCAACTTTGTTAATATAGTTTCACAATGTCTTGTGGGTATTCAATTTGTCAGTAATACTCATGAAGAAGGTACAATTGCATTGATTCATCGATCATGGCTTACGCCTCTGAAAAGTCAAGTCTGGTGGCCTGGGTACAAGACAAGTGTTCAATTTAAAAAAGCACTGTTTACTGAAGAACAAGTAAACGAAAATACATGGGCATTGTATGACGTGAAACGTATATTTTTTACTTGTGGTATATATTTTATGTATAACATTATACTCGTTTGTTGTTTATACAGTAATATAAATATATTTCAAAGTATTGTTATTTATATACAGATGAATTTGATAAGGTCTTTAAAAAACTAAAAGAATGTGAAGAAGTGTCTGATTTACAATGTACTGAAGTAGAAGATGACATACAAAGTAAGAAAAGAAAACGCAAATTTAAAATATATCATAAGTAGTGAAGACGAATACGATGAAAACTGTAATTCTGTACAGCTACCAGCAAAACTTGATAAACCAGGTGAGACAAACATAATTTACATTTATAAGGATAAGAATATTATCATTGTTTTTCCCTTCATTTATTCTTGTACTATGTTATAATATGATAAAATATTATGCACGTTTCATGTTACTACATATGTTTATAAAAACATATCCTTTTTTAAGTACAATTAAAAAATTGACCTTGGAAAACACAACGCAGGTACGTTGCAGATAAAAATTATGAAAATAGGAAATAAATGTATTGTTATCAATTACATATTTATTTTAAGAATCTCTTGATTCTGATTTTTTTGTGAAATTTTTGTTTATTTACAGGGATTGTGTATTACAAGAAATACCTACTAATTCTTCTGCAAGTTACACAAATAACGATGCATCTATAATTGCTCCAACTATTAACACTAGAACAAAAGTTACTAATTTTACGCTTATAAATAAAAATGAAAACAATAGTACAACAAACATAACAATACAACATAACAATACATAACAGTACAAGAAACATAACAACAGTAAAATTATACGAAGTAGGTTGCAGAAAAACCCCCCGTGGGCGCCACCTTGACGTGGTGGGGGGGGCTTGCGTGCCCTGATGATGCACAGAGCAATGCCGGCGGGGGATTCGGCCCTTGGCAGGTTCTACCATGCCGGAGAGGTCTATACAGAGGGGCCAGACTAAGAGCGTCCATAATACTCCTGGATGGGCAGCTGCCTCCAGGTTTTATTCAGTATCTGGAGGGTCTCATTCGTAGGGCCCAAAGGACCCTACAGCGCGGGCAGAGCGGGCTCGTTAACCTTGGCAGGCAACCGGTCTAGGGGAAGGAAAACCCCGAAATTGCACTCGTGTTGCAGGGGCACGTAAAACCCCTGCTTCTATGGAAGATGACGACCAAGGAGAAAAGCGCCCCGATACTCGGAGCCGGAGCACGGCGGGAGGGGGCGTACGGTCTCGGCACCCCCCCGTCGTCATCATGCAACGGGCCAGGCAGCGCGTGCAAGGCGGGCGCGCTGCCCGAATGGGCTACCGCCAAGAGAGAGGCGCTCTTGGACCGGTTGAGGCCGAGTATGGGTCGGATGGACCCACCCTCGGCCTTTGTCGACCCGAGGAGCGCGAAGAAAATGAGGCGCGAGGCGCAGGAATCCGCCTCACCACCATGGCAGGAAGGGGAGGCGCACTTCCCTCCCCTCGGAGGCATTAGTTCCCGCCGGGGGGGGGGGGAGGTGCGGCTCCCTGCGCGCGAGCGGGTGGGACGGATTTCTCTGCTTCGCAGAGATGGGTTAAGCTTTTCCCAGGGGAGGAATTCCCCCCGGTCGAGGGCGGAGAGTCCTCGGCTGGGTGGGCTCCTCTCCTAAACGCGCGGGAGGGAGGAGCTCAAGGGATAGGGCGTAGCGCACGCCACCAGTGGGGTCTCCCGCCCGTACGGAGACCCGCATGGGAGGCAGGGGGAGGGATCTACTCGGGGAGGCCTTGGATGGTATCGACTATGTGAGGACTTTCCAGGTAGATCCCTCTATAAGGGCAGCCAACGGCTACTGGAAGCCCGTAGAAGCCCTTAATGAGGGATTCAGAGAGATCATCCTGAATATACAGGATGTTCTCTCTGATTACAAAAGGTTGGTGAAGGAGGGCGGCCCTGATAGACGACTTGGGGCCCTGGAAGTTCAGGTCCGGGGCCTCAAGTCAGAAATCGCCCGCATAGGGCGGCTGCTGGAGAGGTTTTTACCCACTCCAGCAGCAGCAGCTGCGGGCAGCGGGGTCGCCCCCCTCCACCCACTCAGGGGACAGCCGGCTGTCACTGGGGTGGGAGAGGAGGGCAAGTGGACGCTAGTGTCTACTCGCAAGGGGAAAGGAAGTGGGAAAGGGGGAAGGAGAGAGTTGAACCCCCAAGTCGGTGGGAGGGGGGCCACAAAGAAGGTGGCCCCTCCTCCTACCAAAGTAGGAAAGGTAACGGAAAAGGGGGCCCCAAAGAAGGGACCCCCTCCCCCGCGGAAAATACCACAGCTGAGGAACCCCCCGCGCAACCCTGTAGTAACGGTTACAGCGTTGCCGGAGGGTTCCTCCATAAACGAGGTAATGGCGAAGGCCAGGCTTCGGGTCGATCTCCAGGAGATCGGCCTGGAGCCTGGTGCGTTCAAAATAAAACGCGCCAGAAATGTGGGGGTGTTGTTGGAGATCCCTGGCCAGGACGGTCGAGACAAGGCCGACCGCTTGGCCAGGGATCTGCAAGATACATTGCATGGGGAAGCCGTAGTCTCCAGGCCGGCGAGGAAGGCGGAACTCTGCGTCGTCGGCCTGGAGGACTCGGTTATCCCAATACTATTGCGGGCAGCGTTATTAAAAACGTCAGGTTGTCCTCCGGACGATCTCCAGATCGGGGAGATTAGGAGATCGTCCGGAGGACTAGGGGCAGCTTGGGTTCGGTGCCCTCTACCACCTAACCTCTACCACTGGCCCAAAAGCTGTTGACGGCGGGAGGAATTATCGTGGGGTGGGCGAAAGCCACGGTGAAGGTACTGGAGGACCGGCCCCTCCAGTGCTACAGATGCCTGCGATACGGACACATGGCAGTGACCTGCCAGACCGATAATGGTTTGGCGGGTCACTGCTTTAGATGCGGGGGGGGCCGGTCACGTGGCAAAGGGGTGCACCGAGGCAGTTCGGTGCCTCCTTTGCCACCACGAGGGAAAACGGGCGGACCACCGTATGGGGGGCATAGCATGTGGGGCGGTCCCAAGGTCTGCCCCGAGAGGAGGCAAAACCTCCCAGGAAGAGGAAGAGGAAAAAGAAGACGGCACGTGGGGGGGCGGCGGCTGGCGAACAGCTGCGGCCCCCCGACGGTACTGCCAATAAGGAGAGAGAAGGGGCACCGGTCGCCGGCCCGGAAACGGCCGACAAGGTAGGGAC